CTCTGGAGAAAAGGATCAACAGGAAATAAGGTCATAAAGAAGAAACGGATGAGGAAAACATCCACCCTCTAGTATTCTCTACACAATCTAAAAAAATGTTTTCATAATACCCATGCATATATGAGATGTAGTAGAGAGACAAAAAGTTAATTACCGCCCTAGTCCCTTCAGAGGGAAAAGCCTCAGAAGTCTCCACACCTACCTTCAGACTCAAACCGGAGCCTTGGCCTAACCCTCCTGAAGGAGCTTTCAGAAGACAGGGAGGGAGAGATGGGGTCTTCTGGCAGGAAAGGTCTCAGCAGAGCTTTCTAGAAGGGGATGGGGAGAATTTGCTAATCTAGAGAGTGCAATGGAGTTGGCTTCCTGCTTCTAGAGCAGGAGAAGAAAACAGAGAAGAGGAAACAGTCAAATCACAGGCTTTCTTTGCTCTTTCACCTCACATGGAATACGTGCATTGTGTACAGAAGGTGTTTCTATATTTCTCCTTTTCCTACCCTACTGAAACAGCTATGTGAATACACTGTGCAACGTCAGCCCACTAGATGAAGCGGCTCCTGCTCCCTACACCAGTTACTAGGGCAGTGGCAGCTCCTTTACAGGCTGATTCTGACTTCAGTTAGACCTGTGCTTCTTCCTAACCCTCCCTTCCATTTTCATCCCACGGAGCTAGCAAATACACAGCAGGCATAATTAATAGGACAGTGCTAATATTACGCTTTAATAAATAATCATCCCTACTATCTCTTCATCACTTTCTCCTCCACCTTTTTCCTTCTTTCTAGAGAAGGTAAATGGCTTGCTGTATGCCATGAAATTAACTCTGCCTTTTTATATTCACCAAAGGTCCTCTGGAACACACCACTTTTGTACAGTTACCCAAAAGTGAGGAAGAAATCATTATTTGTCCACCACCTTATCTTCAGTTGCATCTAAATTTCTTCCCTAACAAACAACCCTTCCCTTTTTTTGCCTGTCATTGTTTTCATACAATTTTAAGTACTGTCCTTTCTGATGTGGCCGTCAGCCATAGCAAATGCACACAGAGCACACTACTAGAACAGACGCACAGTTTTTATTTAGAAAGTGGAAGTGACTCTGCCTGGCAGAATTGCTTATGAAACAGTATTCTATTAGGAGCAAAAAAGAAACAGAACACTTCCCTGCAGCCGGGATCTATAGGCAGGGAAGACAAGGGGCACTTTCTAGTAGATTTCCATTTATGGAGAATTGCCAGAAGAGGAGACATTTTCTAGTTTTCTTACATTCTTGCCTGCTTCTGGTTATACAGAAATACCCAAGATCACTGCTTCCTGTTACGAAGACATTGCCATTCCCATCATAAGTGAGAATAATCCATTTAGTAAAAGCGTGACGGTTTATGTACAACTTCATTCCCTCTTTTTTGAGAATTTTTCACTGATTTTTTCCTATGATTTTTTTCATCATGCATTTTCCGAGTGATCTAATGAAGCTCAGAGAACAGTTGTCTTTGCTTTTTAATTCACTATTCCAGAAACATAATGCCCCATCTTGCCTTGAAGCATCTGTCCTCTAGCGCTCCTGTATTACAGTAACACTACTACATTCTTGCTAAAGGATTTGCAACGAAAACAAGCTGAAAACTTACGAAGAATTCCCTGGTTAGCAATATGAAAAGATTCTTCAGACTGCTATATGCTTAGGAATGAGTTCAGACTTCAAACGTGTTGAAGAATTATGCGTCAAAATCATAATAGTGTGCGGAGCAAGTAGGATGGAAAGGCAGTGGGGTAAAGTAGAACCAAGCTCCTTTCTATCTGACAAGGAAAGGGGTAACATTATGTGTTAATACTTCAGAAATCCTTTAACAAACTAAACCCGTTACTCTGAATATTCTTTTACACTCAAATACAAAAGCACTAAAAGATCACAGTAAGACAATCTGACATGGAAACAGATATTTCCCTCCCCCTCTCTCTCAAAAAGGGTTTCAAGTGTTTGAGCCCAGGCATCCCAGGCCTTGGCAAACAAGCTCAGCCATCAGCTCCAGCCTCTTGACTTCAGAAGACACGTTATCACCTTACAGAACAGCCCAGAGTCCAAACTTCCTCCCTATTCCCCATCCCAAAATCCCCGTTCTCCCAAAACAAACTAAGAGCCCAAACTCACCCTCACTTTGAAAGCCATTATATTTTGTTCCTCTACATCCAAGGAATGCTCTCCTGTCCGTCACTAATATTAAACCAAAGCACATAGTTATCTACAAAATGTTATACTGGTGACTATGTCTTTGTTGGGTTAAAGAATAAATACGCAAGTCAAGGAATAAAGCTAAAGAAAATGGTTCAACACAGAATTGGGTCTCTAACCGTTCTAACAGGGGGGCTTGGGGTTCGCTGTGGGTTTGTTTTGTTTTTGAAGGTGGTGCTGTTTGCTTTTAAGACATTAGCCTGCAATTGCCAGGAGGTTGTTCCAATAGACTCCTGGTGGGGTGCTGCTGGTGAAAAAACTTTCTTTTGCATCTATCCAAAAGAAGTCTGCCAGTCAGTGCTGACAACAGTTATCAGTGACAGAAATTGCAGACACTTCTGTGCTTTGTATAAAGAGCACATTTAAAAGCTTTTTCCCTTTTGCTGTCCTGGAGGGAACAGTCCTCTTTCCACTTCTTCCTGCATCCCCATGCATACAAAGAATGGCCAATTATTTATGTATAGCAAGTATTCTGTAGGCTGTAACTTTATATTTCCATGTGGAAGACACTATGTGGGACAAAATCCAGAACCACTATTTATAGAACACAGGCTTTTTGTATTGACAAGAAAAAGACTGAACAGCCTGCGGTGCAAGGCTGGCGCTACTGACGCAACGTGCATCTGATACCTACCTGCTCCTTACTCAAGGAAAAAATTCACATAGGTGAGACAACAGCAATTAAACTCCTTTTGATCCCTTATAGCTTATCCCCTCTTATCATTTTGACTCTAGTCTGACAGACATTTAGAGATAAGATCTTTGCTACATCCTTTCTGACCAACTTCCCTAACGCTTCTTCTCTCCATTTCATAAGCAAAACCCTGGCACGTTTAGAGCCACGTTAGGAAAGCACACTACCGGGCAATACCGTGCTTCGATCCATGCTGGTGGAGGGAGCCCAAAGGGAGAACACAGCCAGCTGGTTTACACAAGGATTACGAAGCAAGTTGATATGGATTAGAGAGGTCAGTCAGAAAAGCCTGCCTTCTGTAGTGTTTGTACTTGAAAAGAGAGAAGACAACGAAAGAAAGTGATGAAGAGTGAAGATAAAAGGTTTCTTGACTAGGAACTTTGCTGTTATCTGATTTTAAGGAGGCATTACATTGCAGCTATAGAATTTTTAAAGTGGTGGTCAATTCATCTTTTTCTTAAGTAGTCTACTGTTGCCAAACCACAACAACTGAACTACTTGACATGTAAGATGTTACTAAGATTGGTAGAAAACATTGACTGGGAGTTTGCAGTGGATTCATGTTTGTTGCATAGAGACCAAACTACCAGAACGTCTTCAATCCAATCTTTGCACGCAGCTTTCAGAGCCCAAGACTGACAGCCTCACTGTCAGAAGGTAGACCAAGGAATAAAACGGGAATGGAGATGAAACATGAACAGCACAAAAGGTCTCCTGGAATAGCAAGCCTGTTAAATTTTATGAGAGGCCCGAGAAGTGTAAAGTTTTAGCCAATTGTCTACAACTATAAAAGATGCCCTGTGCCCATACTCTGTGCTGACAAGACAGTTTCATTCCAACACAGGTCCAAGGATGCAGCATCCATAGAACACATTTCCCTAGAGGCTGACTGCACAAAGAATATCGCTTTGCCTTGTGAACCTTCTGTAATAATTTGCTCCTCTCTTCCCTTCAGGAATGCTTCTACTTTTTTCCATGCATTTCATACAGCAATTTAGGTAGGTAGGTAGGTGGGTGGGTGGGGTTCCCCCCTCCCAAGTAAAGCTGTGATGCTTCCTTTTCCATTGTGTCTTGCTCTAATTTAGGAGTCCATCTACATTTTTTAATTCTGATTGGGTGTACTTTGGGAACATCTCTAGCTTTAAAAGCCAGCCTTGCACAAAATTATGTCTGAATGTATTTCAGTGTAACAATTTTCAATCACAAATGTAAAATAGATTACCTCCAGGGTCTGTTTCACTAAACACAAGTGAAACTCTGCTTTTTTTATTGAGTGAGAGAACTGATTATTTTTGCTGTTCAGTTCAATAATGTGCTATGAAGGAGCCTAGTGTGCTCACATATTAGGGCTATAACATCATAAATGAATAAAACATCTTGGCCTTATTGCTAACACCAGCAACAGCCACTCTCTGTAAAAGGACAGAGCATCTATTGAAACGAAAGAACTAAAAGTGACAGACTAAGCCAAGGTCACTTCTAAGCCTCTAATAGTAGCATAAGCAGGGGGAAGGGTAATTTGCAGATATCACTGTAAAAGCACTTAATGTGATCATAGCTACATAAAATACATCCGGTATATAACTGGCAACAAAGACTATTTTGCTTCATTAATGATTTTGCTGTTTAAGGCCCATTCGTAGCAAAGAATCAAGCACTTAAAGTTTCTAATTTTGTAAAAGAAGTTTCTAGCACTGAAATACATCAAGAGATTGTGTTCTTCACAACTGAAATACATCAACTCCTTTTTTTATATCCGCTTTCTCTACTTGGCATCAGGTCAAAGCAAAGGCAGGCATAGGATATCACTTCCTCTAAGTATTATTCCCTAGAGATCTGATACTACAAGCTGGTAGGAGTCATATTCAACATGAGATGTAGCAGCGCAGTGGAACTGTTGGGTTTCCAAAAAGACACTGAAAATGTATAGGGATTCAAGGGAGAAACAGGCAACGTGCTTGGAAGAAAGAACCTGCAGGGGCTGTATCTAGTAGAGGAGATCTTCTAGCCAAAAAATAGTTGGAAGCGACGTACGACAAGCACTCCTGAGGAGTATGTGGTCTTCTCCTTTTCTCACCTCTTTCTTCCCCATGTGTCTGGTTTTTGGAGTCTGATGCAGTGCAGCTGCTGTTCCTTCAGTTCCTCTGGCCTTCCCGGATCTAATTTTTCCAATTCTCTTCCTATTCTTATTGATGTTATTCAGGGGGTATTTCTCCTGAGATACTTCAGGTGAATATGAGAGATGTTTGCATATGAGAGCAACCTCATTCTCTGAACTTAGGGCTACAGCAATTTCACTGTGAGGGAGACAAAGATCTAACTTTGTAGTATTTTTAGTGTAGTCACAATCACTCCACAGTTTCAGTAAGTTATTCAAAAGCAGCACCTGGAACAAGAATAACAAACACTGTTTATGAAACTTCCAACTATGTTATTTGCAAGGTATATAAACTGAAAAAATATTTAAGCCTGCATTGCTTATTATATTCAGGCAATTTTTAAAGAAGGGGCATAAACATTGCAAAGTAAGCAGAAATCAGCATTCACAATGTCCAAGACTTACTTTTTGATGCTTGTTATTCCACGCATCTGACTACAGAACTCCAAAAGAAAACATTCATTAAAATGTACTAATCCCTACATGTAAATTCTTTCTGTACAATCTATTTGCTGAATAAACTCAATCTATTACGATAATACTGAACTGCCAAGAAAAGCACCACTGCTTTGTCCAAAGTTTATCAATAGTAAAAATCTCCCCTTGATATAAAGCAGTTGGGGAGCGTTGTCCATTAAGAAACAGCAACACCCCTGTTCCAAACAACTAATAGATAACATGGTATTTAAGGTCAATCTTTACATTTACTTTTTCTCCAATTTTTTTTCTAGGCTTTTATCAACAGCATTTATTATAAAACAAGTAGGGAGCTCTGAGTAACAAAGCAGTGGCAAGCATAAAATTCAATCACATAGGTCTCAAAAAAAAAAAAAAAACCCAAAACAAAAAAAACCAAAAAACCCCCCCAAAACCAAAACACCTCCGAGAATTTAAAGCCAGCCAATTTAAGCAGTTCAAGCAGTTTTTGTGTGTGACAGAAGTGAGATTTTAACATACACCAAAATTTAAAGCCAACAAATACTCTAGTTCCACAACAGCAAACACCAGGAAGGAAAGCCATGGGTTTTCTGTAGCATTTTTTAAACTGGTTTTGCCCACACAGGTGCCTGGTAACAAAAGTGCTGTAAAGGCAGAGTGCGACACCAGTGTATTTCCTCAAGAAACGTTAAAGCCATAGCTATGCTACACTTCTCACATAGGACTCATTTAAGTTATGAGAAAAACAAGATGATGCGAACAGTGGTGCAGGCTGCAAAGCACAGGAATAAAGTTTATTGCAGAGGTGTTTCGTGCCTGTTTTACAATCCTTTACAGCCTGACCTCGACCCAGTAAGTGTCCCAGACCGAGTCTTCCTGCTCCTGTAAAGGGAAATACTGTATTTTTGACCCATGCAAACTGAATGGTCACTGAAGTGAAGTTACTGCTATTTTAGGATTCAGATATCATCTCGTTTTTCCATAAGTGACTTACTTTACATCAGATTAATTGCGGGAAACTTGCATCAACAGGAACATATCAGCAGTAAGTCACTTTCAGGTGGACTCCATTCTATCACAGTGCTCATTTCCAAAATACTAATAATTAATCTACCCTAAGGCCTTTACATTTATTTTTAATTAGGCATTTATTGACTGAAACTCCCTGTCAGCTGCAAATTTAGGCTTCTTTAACTCGCAAGACTGAGAACTTTTAACAGGTTATCTTCAATCCTATCTTCAAGCAGCAGGAACAAGTAGCAGCACGTCGCTACTAATCCTTAAAAGTATGCCCAAGTGCTACACTAACAAAGACTTCTTTAAAAGCAGCCACCTGCTCTTATGGTTGGAAATCCAGACAGACCAACCAAGCCAAGAGTCTACAACAAGTCCAGTCAGGAGAAGTGCCAGGCTAAGTTGAGAGGAAAGGGTGAAAACCAAAAAGGGAGAGTGAACTATTGTTTCCTGACCACGTGAAGTCATCTGTCAGGAACTACTGCCTATGAAAGTGAGTTTTTCTTCAACTAACTTAGGGATATTCAACCTATTTAAATACTGTCATAGTGTTTAAATGGTACACGCACAGAGGAGTTATGCACCATGACTGAGCCCTTTAGACCCAAAAGAGCGCACACACGCTCTCTGCCCATCTATGTCAGTGTTTTATTAGCTGAAATTAGTGTGACTTACCCTGTCATTCCTCCACTTCAAAATGCAAATAATTAACATTGACATGATTGTGGCAAAAATTTAACCTATTTAGATCAGCGAAAGAGATCAGTGTTATAGAATCATACTATATACAACATACCAGCCTCTAAGACACAAAATATAGAAAGCCATTTTCATCCTTGGTAATGATTAAATTACTTTTATTCCCACTTAAAATATACAACTTTGAAAAATTATGCATCATACATTCAAATAGGAATTGCATTCTTAAGTGTCCTGATATCCAGGTATTCTATTGATGGCCAGTATAATACAATAATCTGTCCGACACTGTTTATTTATGGCCATAGGAGAAAAGTCTCTGTAAATAAATATTTATACCTGATATTACAACTTCTCCTTAAACACATTTAGAAGTCAATTTCAGTAGGCCTCTTTGTTCCTATAGGAGAAAACAAATTCCAAAGATCCCCAAAATGGCAAAAAATATCTAAGTCAGCCAGCTATTTTAGAAATAGCACTCAAGATACAAGTCAATTTAGCAGTGTCAGAAATAACCATTAAAGCTAATATTACCACCCAAAAACAGTTTGAGAAAGCTCACTAACAATGCTATGGATCTTAGTGGTTTTTAAGTAGCAATTTAAAAGCTTTAGAAAAATCGATACAAATGGTATCATTAGTACAATAATACTGTTGCAGATACAATTTAGGAGTACGGCAAGGAGGCATAACCTACAGCCCCCTTGAAAAAGCACCACTACTGAGAAATCTTTATGGCAGGGTTTCGATGCATTTTAAAAGGGCATGGTGACATCATTTACCCAAGTGCCCCTTGCAGGGTACGCCACCGCTCCACTTTGGGGCAACTTACTACTGCGTAACTTTGTGCTATTTACAGGACACCAAAGATACGACAGGCATTTTTTAGACCGTAACACCCCTGCTCTGCAGAGCTTCAAGTCTTCGGTAACACACAAAACACAGTGGAGAAAGAATGAGGCTCAAACAGCAGTGAGTGATCTGTAGCATGGATTAGATCAATTCATGGATATGAGTAGGAGGTAAGAACAGTAGGGTAAAGAACTTTACACTGCATGAAGTGTAGGAAAAAAAAAAATTGTAATTGCAGTTACCCTAATTTAACTGAAGCCAACATCATCATTTCTGTTTCTGGGATGGAGAGAAAAACATTTATCACTGCATTAGAAGAGGAAGTTATTAACAGTTTGATATGATACCCTAACTTAACAGAGAAAAATCAACACAGGTATTTTAAAGTTGGTAATTTTTATTTACAGTTTTGTTGGCAAAAGGTGGTGGGAAAGTTTAAAACATTTTAAACAGAGGGCACCATAGTTTATTGTATGATGTATCAGTTCACAATCTTCAGTATCCAGCTGGTCATATAAAGCTAATCACCACTTAAAGAAGCATAATCTGCATCAGAAGCATAATCTGCATCAGCTCCATTAGAGTGTACTGCCTAAAAACACTTCAGGCAGCTTCTAAATCAACACAATCACTAATAAAAATGCAGTTCTGGTAAAGAACATATACTTTGATTTTTATACTGTACCTGGTATCAAATTGCCCACTTATACTTGCATACTGGCAAAGCAGTTACACTTCCTACTTTTAGTTGAAAGTTATAATCTCATTTTCTGCAAATCCAGCAGTCGGGTAATTCTGAACTACTCTGAATATTTTACTGTGAGCATAGTCAAGACTGGAGTAGATGAAATTGAAGGAAAATATTCCTGGTATATGACGTGCCCATCAGAATCAGCCGGGTAACCATAAACATCCTGTTTAAGAATTCTATTCAAAAAGGAGAAAAAAAACCAAAAACGTAGTCAGTTTTCACTCTGTCACATAGATTTAACTCCTCACTTGAGCTTTTTATTTCATTCTTCTAAATCAAGAGTGTTTAGTTCTTCTTCTAGTTCATCCAAGTCCTCTCCAGTAAACAGATTTTCATCAACTGGAACGGCATCAATTACTCCATTTTCCAACTCCCCATCTCCATCATTATCTTCCTCTAAATCATTTTGCTCACCGCTGTTGATATCACCACCAGAAGCTTCGCTTAATTTGTTATCTGAAAAAAAAGAAAAGAATTCTTACACATTTCAGCGTCACAAGGTTCTTAATCACTAATTTGCAATCCTACTGAACAGGCTTTAAAGTCTTGAAACTATAAAGGAGCTACTTTATTTTAAATTTATGTAGACTTATATTGGTTAAATTGCATGTACCTGATTAATATGCAGGCTTGGACCATCAATTATTAAAATAGGTTGGAAAAATCCCCCTCAAAACTCCCAACTCTTCAAACTCCTATTTTCATAGTAGAGTCAAACAAAAAGTGAGCTGTTCCTAAATGTCGGCACTTAGAAGACTCAGGGTCTTAAAGATCAGGGTATGCATTCCACAAGGCACACCAAGATCAAGAATTTGCTCTATGAAATTACAGTCTGACTTAAACTAGCTAGAAAATAAGAAGAAAAGCTTGGATTTTTGTTGATATTATTCAATCATTTACTAAATCTGAGAGAAAAAAAAAAAAAGGAAAGCGCTAAAACAAACATCTTAAGGAATTACTTGAAGAGGCTATAAACACTACCTTTTATTTTAACTTGAACTTAAGAAAATAAGAAGTGCATAGTATTTGCTACAAGCTTTTTCTTTAGTAACTACAAGCATCAATAACTACAGTCATCACAGTCATCTCACTTCCCCCCCCCCCCCCCCCCCCCCCCCCCCCCTTTTTAAACAAATACTTCTTTTCAGCAGATCAATAATTCATTTCTACCTAACTTTTGGGAAGCTCTTAACAATGCAATCCCTTGTAAGTGATGCCTAAATAATGAACTTACCATCTTTTTCTACTGAACTGTACGTGCTGAATCGCTCAGGACTAGCCACAGTA